CCCGGACGAGCCGGGGGCTCTAGTCCAGGGGGGGGGGGCCTTTTTTCACGCCCGATAATCGGCCGCAGGCTCCGGGTTTGGAGGCTGAGAGGCGGAACCTCGTAGACCTGGGTCTTCCCCCGGCGGTGGTGGAGACTATTCAGGGGGCGAGGGCGCCGTCCACTGTGAGGGCCTACGCCACAAGATGGAGGCTCTTCAGCGACTGGTGCAGTTCTCGCTCCTGGGATCCCAGGCGTTGCCCGTTGGAGGGAGTCCTGGGATTCCTGCAGGAACTATTTGACAAAGGGAGGGCTGTCGCCACCCTGGCAGTATTCGCGGCAGCCATTACCTCGGGTCACGACGGTTTCGGGGGGTTCATAGCCCGCTCTCATCCATTGGTCAAACGTTTTCTACGGGGGGCACGCAGGAGGAGGCCCCCGCTTTAGAGAACGCCCCCGGTTTGGGACCTCAGGGTGGTCCTTAGGGGGCTGTCGGGCCCGCCTTTTGAACCGGTGGCGGAGGCGAGTCCCGAGTGTGTTGCTTTTAAGACTGCCCTCTTGCTGGCGTTGGCGTCTGCTAAGAGGGCGGGCGACCTGTGTGCGCTCTCCGTCCATGCGTCTTGCCTGTCCTTTGGAGAGGGTGACGGTCTGGTGGAGTTGTGGCCCAATCCGGCTTTTCTCCCTAAGGTCATCACGTCGGCCTTCAGGTCGAGAGTGATCAGGATTAGGGTCTTCCATCCGCCGCCACATGCCTCCCCCGAGGAGGAGCGGCGGCACCTTCTGTGTCCTGTGAGAATGCTTAGGCGTTACCTGGCCATGACATCTTCATTCAGGTTGGTTGATCCGCTGTTTGTGTGTCTGGGCCCCAAGAACAGGGGCGCCCCGCTGTCGGCTCAGCGGCTGGCGCACTGGGTTGCCACGGCTGTGCGGCGGGCGTATCAGGCTCAGGGTCTGGCCCCCCCCGGTGGGCTTCAGGTCGCACTCCACGCGTGGGGTGGCGGCCTCTACGGCGTTAAGTTGAAACCTTTATGTTTCCCCTCTTAGGGTAATCTTTATTTATATACCGCCTTTTCACTGCAGATCTGAGTCTCAAAGCGGTTTACAATTGTTAATTATTGGGCATTTGTCTCTCACTCCACACAGAGATGGGAGCGGGGTCGCCAGTACAGAAGGCACATGCTAGAACTATTGGACATATTTTTAGTGGTAGGGGAAACCGGAGTACCCGGAGGAAACCTACGCAGACACGGGGAGAACATGCAAACTCCACTCAGAAAGGGGGGCCGATGGTTGACTTTCCGCCCTGGTTCAGGAGTTCTTGGGAGAGGCGTCCTGCAGGTGCGATATATGTGTGTGCTTTGGTCAGTCAGGTAGTCCACGCCAGGAGCTCTTGGGAGAGGCGTCCTGGGACTACGGGTGGCCTTCGGTCTGTGTTACTTGGGTGTGTCTTTGGGAGGAGTGGCCCTGTAACACGCAATTGCTTCTTCTGCTCTGAGTCCTCTCACTTGTGAGGGTCTTGCTCGGGCAGAGCTCCAATCACTCTTCGCTGGCCTGCTGGGAGTACATGTTCCTACGGCCTCCGCGTTGTGTCCCACTAGCGAAGTCCTAAGGGACGTAGCACCATGACGTAGAATTAATAGTTACCTGTGTAACTTAAGCTCTACGAATAGGTGCGTAGTCCCTTAGCTACGAGCCCATCAGGCCAGCCCGGCTTGGCAGAGTTCAAGAGGGGGTGCGGCCTTGTGCAGGGGCCTTTATAGAGGAGGGTCGCTAGTGATTGGAGCATTTTTGTTTGATCTCTCTGGCGTCTGTGACCTGGGGGTCACGTGATATCCCACTAGCGAAGTCCGCTAAGGGACTACGCACCTATTCGTAGATTAAGTTACACAGGTAACTATTAATAACGTGTTATTTGTTATTAATGTTACTTCCTGAGTAGGCATTGGCCACCGGTCAGGTCAATCAGGCTGATTACGCCCAGATATTCAGTTCATACTAAGAAACTTGCTGCATTTGTCATAAAAGTGTAATAGGACTGCCATGTTATACAACATTTTAAATATTAATGCCTCAAGGAAACAAAAATATGTGTATGTATGACCTATCGGCAATACTCACACTTTCTATTTGTTGTTCAGTCCAAACAATATAATAACTATAACAATTATATATATATAAATAAACAATACACTATGATAATACAATATTTGAACTTGTTGAGATTACCTCCATATCCTAAAATATAAATATGGAAAACTAACTACAGACGCAAAAGATTAGCCTCAAACAAACTTTCCAAAAAAATAAAATAAAAGAAATAACCTAGGCAAGAAAAGTTGTGGTCCGCAAGCACATATGATTTCTGTAATTCAGCTCCTAACAATGATTACGTTGACCTACTGTATACTGTGTAATACAGTTCATGGCCATTTTGTTTGTGTATAAATTGAGTGACATGTTTTATGAAATCCATGCATCAAGCAAACATATCTTCTTCTCATACTGTGAAGCACTTTGTGGCCTTGGTTTGTGAAAGGCACTGAATAAATAAAGATTACTTACTAACAACAACCTAAGGCAGTGTAAACAGTGCATTTTTGGAGGCTGGAAAGCAGATGAAATCTCTCTCAGGGTGGCTTAAGGGGCCACCAAAATCAGATACTTTAAGTTATGAGAATAAAACTATGGTATACCAAGCTGTGATGTGGATCAACGCCTAGATTCTAGGAATTTCTTCAGAATCAGAATCAGAATCAGAATCATTTTTATTGCCAACGTAAGTAACGGGAGGTCACAGACTTGGAAATTCTTAGGAATGGAACCGCCCCTCTTAGGGGAGTCCTGCCCCGAACGATTACTTTTGTAGTTACTATTATTATGCTGTTTTAAAATTTCACCTTGATATAGTATAAATATTAATTTCTGGACACATTGTCTTTGTGTGGTGACTTTTTGATGGGTTTAGTTAAATTTGAAACTTCTTTTGATTCAAATTAGTATTCTCCCCATGTACCTAAAATAGATTTTCCAGCAGCTAGATTTTAGAGGGATGATAGAATTATTTCATGGCATTACTGAGTCGCAAGAGCGTGTCCAACTTCTCCATTGAGCTCAAATCCCAATTAAAAGTGCAGCCAAACTCATTTGTTCATTACTTTATTGTGTCTTAGATCATGTTAATTATTGAGACAAAGCGTGACAGTCACTTTAGTAGCCATGCTTGCCTGGCAGAACATAAGACGTTAATTAAAGGCAATAATTGCATTACGTTTAGCCTTTATTCAAGCTTCAAGAGAAGAGCTCAGTGAGTCCTCTAAAGGAAGTGGCACACTGACACCCTGTGAATGTAATCGGTACTGCACAGACATTCTACAGTATCGCAAAGAATTAGCAATTATTAACCTTTTTGATTGATAATTGCCTTTTTTGCAAACAAAAATTAATGATTTTTTTTTTTTTTAATCAAACCTCTCATATAATACCAGTTTGCCAGCTACTTATCTATGACTACTGTGTGTGCTCTTATTTACTGTCATATACAGTATGTGCAAATAGTTGCTGCATTGCGTCCATCAGTTTGCCCCAGGACAGCTGTGGCTACGGTAGTAGCTTCAAAAAAAAGAATTTAACCTATTGTTTGTGTTGTTAATGGTAAGGGAAACCAGAGCACCTGGAGGAATCCCGCAATATTCGCTGGTATGGGTAGAACATGCAAACTGCTCACAGAAATGTTGTATTTTACTGGAATACTGAACCAGGAGTGCTATCCAGCTCTGCCACCATGAAACATATGTGTGTATGAGGTGGTTCAACGAGAGAGGAATGATCTCATGAAGGATAATGAGTGAAGCATCATCAAATCAATTACATTTTGATTGTACAACGCTTTCTTGTTTTTGTTTCTCTCGCATTTGTCTTTTGGTGCACGATATAGCTTAGCACTGCTGTGTATGAAGTGAATGAATAATGCAACGTGAAGCGTCTTTGAGTCGTAGGTACGATGTATCTCTGTTGTGTTCTTGGGCTTCAGGCAAAATGGGGTTTTGCCTGAAGCCCTCGTTGAAAGACCAAGGCTGTGTCCTCAATGACAGAGAAGCCATCTTCCTGTGGACCCACCTCCTGCAGGAGGATCAGTGAGGGGCTGGTGCTTCGAGGACTGGGTGGCAGTCGGAGCTGACCCCAACCCACAAATGGACTAATATAGGGGATGAAAATGACTTGACATTTTTATTGCTTCATAAACTCATGCTGTCTGTTTTGTTTAACTTAACCAAAACAAACAGCATGACTTTCTTTTGTAATTTTTTTTTTACAAAAGAAACATTTTGTAAACAAATCATAGACAGCTTGTCAACAATCTGGGTTTATCTTAATAGAAATAATTTTAGTCCTGGTCTCTGAACAAGCTGATCTAAAGATGGGACAGAGGCCAAAAAAACCAAACAGAAACAAAGCTATATAAGTTAGATGGAGTCTCAAACTTGCTATCTTTCTTTTTATTGCACACTCATCTCATTACACATCCTTACTATCCCTTCTCTGATTGTCATGTCCAAGTATAATGCCCAGTGGAGGCAGCACCTGCATGAAACACATTAAACTCCACTTCTTTATGCTGCACTGTGCGTCAACACCACGGCAGACTTAAACACACTACATTCCCAGCAGACGGTCTGCGCCAGCGCCACTGGCACAATCAGCCCAATGACTCAAATTCTGCAAAAATCACATTACCGCGATGCCGAGTGACGTTTAGTGTTCCCTATTCATTATCAGTGACTAAAATACCCCTATACCATACAAAGCATCCTTTCCGCCTGCAGCTACTTCTGACGAGTGCGGGGAAAGGAGGCCAGAGACAAAAGCTGCGTGCTAGGAGGAGGGAGAAAGCGACAAACGCAGCACACATGGCTGGATTTAAGGCGCTGCTTTGCACATGAAACAAACAGACTACAGTTTACTCAGTGACTTCAAACATTGTTGTAGCTTAAATGCATGGTTTGAATGATGTTTTTCTTCCAGCTGGTGATCATGTCCGGGACGGTTCTGCTGGCGTATTACCTGGAGTGCACGGACCTCTTCAGCGTGCACGTGCAGGGGTTCTTCTGTAACGACGCAGAGCTGATGAAGCCCTATCCCGGCAGAGAGGAGGCCAGCTTCATCCCCCCTCTCATCCTCTACTGCGTGGTGGCAGCGGCGCCCACGGCTGTTGTGAGTTCTACTATTCTGATTTAGAGCGCTTGTTATTGTTCCTTTATCAATGACATACCTGGAGTTGTTTTTATTTTTCTAAACGCTATTTTTCATACTTTTGGCACAACTAGGCTAGTCCTTATGTTTTGTCTGGATGCTCCTGTCTCAAGCTTGTACGCTAAGATGAATCATTCATATGACGTCATGGACAGAGCTGTTTTCTTGGTATTTACAACAAATATTTCCTCCAAATTCGTTTTTGGTAGTTGACTAGTAAAATGGTCTTAGTGTGTGTACATGTAAGAAACATGTGCATACCTTAATTTAGATTGTTCTATCACATGTTTACAAAACAGTGTTTCACTATTTCACTAGAGCCACTTTATATGCATTTCATTTATATATAACACATGATATTTTCCCTTTTTAACCTAAGGTAGTCTACATGGTTACAAAGAGAAAGTAGATACCTAAATGTACTTTATTTCCATATAGATTTAGTAATAAAAGTGTAGTATTGTGACAGCTTCGCAGTACTGCAGGTTTATTTCATAATTCATACTAGCTGTAGTGATTTCTTACTCACCTTTAATAGTGTTTATCAAACTGTATAAGACTGAAATAAATACTTTCATAATACAATACAATACCCCGCAGTGTAGAGCATCTTAAAGAACGTATCTGTGTGTTTCTGTGGGCTGGTGCCGTCCTTCTGTTCTCACCTGATGGTGTGGGACTGAGGGTGTGTTCACACTTGTTCACAACAGCAGGAGGACTTTTCAAAGTTGTTGATTTGCAAAAAAAATGATCAGAGAATCAAACAACACTTGGGACTTGGGTGCACATGGAAACTTTGATACAAATATAATTATGGGATTATGAAACTTAATGCACATTAGCATAAAAAATGCTATTAACATTTTTGTGAAAACTATTGATTTAAAGCAGCTAAAACTTCACATGAATATGACTTTGAGAAGTTTGATCAAAAGGAATGTAGTTGCCATTGAGCTTTACCAAGAGCTCTCATCCTGCAGTCGGCCAAATATAATGTTACCGTTGCACTGTGCACTGACTTATTTTTGGAACAATTAATGCGTTGTACTTTCTACTTTTCATTTATTATGAGTCCTGCATAATGGAAATGCTTCTGTCACTATCAACCCTGTTTATACTGAGTGTACTGGAAACAAAAAATAATTACTGTTTTATTTAAAACAAAGGGTTGTAGTGAAACACTGATGAAAGGTCAGCACACAGGGTGAACTCAGAGCTGATTTATTTCATATCGTTAACAAGCACATAATGCTGACCTTAATGAAGACTGTGTAACAGTGAAGAATATATAAACACTGAACATTCATATTATACAGTGATTAAAGACAGTGGGCATCAACATCTTAGTTTATACTTAAATCAGAATTAGAATCAGAATCATTTGTATTGCCGTGTAAGTAACAGGAAGTCACAGACTAGGAAGGTGCTTTGGCTCGGTGCAACAGAGAGCCAGACAAAGAGAGGTAAAGAATAGAGTAAGGCATAATAATAATCAGCATACACTTCTAAGGTATACAATTTAAAAGAGAAATATTACGATCAAAATTACAATTACTATATACAATATACAAGTGCCCATGGTGCACACAATATGCAGTACAATACATCTAACTTTCTTCAAAATAAGATCCTTTAACTGCAGCTCTGCTTTCATCCACCAGATGTCAGTATTGCTCCATACATATGCAAACACCATCCACTTTTGAGCCCCATGGGTCAATTTATTATTAAAGCATGTCAAATCTTATAGTCAAAACCTCCTGAGGCATGTTTCTCTGCTTTTGAATATTGTAATATAGATGTATGTGTAAATTCTGCTGTCGCGCAGATTACAAACAGAGTGAGTGCGAAGGTGAAGTCAGCAGAGACAGGGCACACATGAGCTGCATGTCGATGGCATGGCACCAGAGCAACACACCTGAGGACAGAGGACAGCTTCACAGGCCTGCGGCACACAACACCAGAACAAAGCCACAAAGCTACAAAGCTATCACGTACATCAATTATCACAGTACTAATAACTTTTTTCTAGTCTACAGCACATATCTACAAAGAGTTCTAAACTGTGGACATTAAAGTTTACGGCAACAATTCTTGAGACACAATAATGGCCACATAATCGGGTTGCAATTTCAGGGAAAAAAAATAAAATATTTTACATGTAGTTAAAATTCCACTGGGGAATTCAGGATTTGTTCTGCCATATTTCAGCCTGAATGGTCGTCTCCTCTCTAATTAAATTACCTTGATGAGTTCATTTGCCTGGCTTATTAAGATGTATAAACCTTTAAATTTAATAATCTATTACCGTCCCAGTTAACGAACCAAGAGCCTATTTAAATCAATGTGGTTTATATATTGAAGCTCAAACCCATACAGGGATGTTGTTAGTACAATGTCACACACGAACTAAGGACATATTACACAACATCAACTCATTTTAATTGTACGTTTTTCAATGTTTTCCACAATTACTTGCAAACTCTTGTCTGCATTTTCAGCAAGTCCTGCATGTTTCAGTAATCTTCAGTGCAAGACACAATCAATACATCTGTCATATAAACGTCATATAAACCAATGGCCTTCAAATCGTTCCCACCCATTTTATCAAGTCGTCAGGGTAAGACTGGACCAAGCCCCGGTGATCCAAGATGGCGCCCTATTCAAATTAATGGCTTGTGCTCAGTAGCGCATGGGACTTCACGGGCACTGACATATCAGAGGAACTCGGCTATATTTGGGCATCGTCTGGTCCTCCCGGTTCTGCGCTGTGGATTATCTCCCATGTTGCGTTGCGCCAAATATGCGTGTGTGGCTCTCACGCACGTGCACAGAGGGGCTCGGCCGCGCTCTGACCAATCAGAGCTGCTGATCAGAGCAGTGGTAGAGCGGAGTCAGAAGGAAAACAGCAGAGTTTGTGGCATTAAAGTGTGGATTTAAAGAAAACTGAAGGATTTAAGACAAAAAAAAGTTCAGGATGACAAGGGACACTAAAATCCCCACAAAATCCAATCTTTATGAAAGCTGTAGGTTCTCTGTCAGCTGAGGTCGAGCTGTTTTAGTTTACATTGAGTTCTATGGGACTTTTTTCTGTGTAGCCCGCGTGAATTTAGTCTGCAGTACCACGGGCGCCCCCTGTGTCCGTGGGTGGGACACCTATAAGCTAGTAATACCCTATCCAGTTATCATTATAGATCCATGGACTGGACCTGATGAAATCATAGACTCTAAATATTATCGGATATAGTCACGCTTATCTCCGCTGTTGAAACTAATGTGCCACCACTTTTGCCTTCTGTGGGCAGTTTCATAGGTCTATAGTGGCAAAATTGGAAGGGTCCAAAAAAATATACTCCCTTCAGCACTGACACACAACCAAGAGTCGACTTTTGGACGAAATGGGTGAAGTCTGGTTGGAATGAAAACCTGCAGCCTCAACCCTCTTCCCATGGACCAAAACTTAAGTCCTCCAAGACGACTGCTGTTGTGATTCAGGGCTACACAAAAATGAAAAGAATTGAATTGAACTGGTTTGATTTAAGCATTTCTTTCTGTATAATTTTCAAACAAATACAATAGCTTAGACAACCATCCCTTCTATGCTTTTGCTATTCTACTTTTCATCCTCCACTCTTCTTTCAATGGACATTCTTATTAGCACATCAAGAGCTACTTAATCAAGACTGTGATTGCTGGAAGTGGCTGGCGGCTCAGCGGGCATCATCTGTTTATTTGTAATGAAACGCTTCCTCATTTCTGGCTTGAACACCTTCTCACTCTGGGTTTATTGTCTTTGCTCTCTCTAAACCTTCACCATTGTAAAAGTAAAAGTTATTGGCCATTTTATTATAGAGGATAAAACACTTTGTAAGTTTTGTCCTGGGAGATAATTGTCTTGCAGAAATGAAGCATACTGCAAAACTGTGCAAGCCGCAAAACCGGTGGCAATGATTATGTCTTTGCATGCAGTCACGTCCAGCTAATGCAGGGACATTAGAGATGGGTTGCCTATTTTGTTTGTTTCATATTGACCCCTTGCATGTGACGTCCCGGCCACGCCCACTCTCCATGACAGACGGCAGAAGTCTAACTGGAGCCTACGGACACCTGACCAAAACAACCTGTTTCAGCGCATTACAGCCAAAACTGTGACATTTTGCAGTGCGGTTGATTATACTAACAGGCAAGGACATAAGCTTTTTTATCTGATACCTGCTCGTCATGAAGACAGAAGACGACGATGGCAGCGATCAACCAAAAGGACTGGGACCCATCCAAGTACTCCCCAATATGCAGTGAACACTTTTTACAAGATAAAGCAATCACAAGTTTGTATTTATTTTATTTCCATTAATTTGGAGGACAATGACACACGTCAAACGTGTCTCTTACTACTGTCCTGTCTGTGCGCTGCAACATTGACATTTTTATCTTTTAAGTCAATTGCGTGTTTCACTATTTTCCTCTCCGTCAGTACGTATCATGTTTGGCTGTAGACAGAAAAGCCACAGAAAAGTGGACTATTGCTAATGCTATCAGCAAAATGTAAATCTGCTCTAGTGTAAGGGGATGCATTGTTAACGATAAAGATCATGTAGGGTGAATTTGGGCAAAAATAGACATTTTATTTAATCGATAAAATTGACTGGGGGGAGAAGGTACGGGTCAACATCCAGTTAGGCAATCCTTAACTTAACAGGTTTTTAATGACCTGTTTTTAGTGACTGACTCAGGTAGTTCTGCCATTTTAGTGCTTTTAGACCTGACTGCTGCTTTTGACACGATTGACCACACAATTATTTTAGACCGACTCCGAGACAGTGTGGGTGTCAGGGGGACTGCTTTGGACTGGTTCAGGTCATACCTCAGTGGGAGGTCTTTCTCCGTTAGGCTTGGGGACTCCACCTCATCCTCCGCCTTCCTGCGCTGTGGAGTTCCCCAGGGTTCAATTCTTGGCCCAG